AGAATACAATGCATCTTAGAGCTTGCTCTGAACTTGACAACTTGACTAGACACAATTGCTCTATTGAAAAAGAACTGCCATGAAAGGGTTGCTGATAACTAGCGTCACATTCCATTAACTACATTTTACTGGCGTGACAGTAAAATTGCTTTTTGTTATAACAAGGTTTCGTTATATCGAGGTTATTTTCCATATATTTTACTACTACTGGGGTTAAAAGAAAATCCTTCATTATATTGAGGACTTCATTATATCAAGGTTCTACTGTTCTGCAATGACTCTTATTTCAGAGCTGTGGCTAAATTTTCAAGTCGCGGGGTAAATGCAATTAGTAGAAGGGGAATTGTACTGAGCTAGGAATTAGTTCTTTTGGTTCTGTTTCCTTTTTGTTTCCTATAAGAGAAGCCAGGGCTCATGCACATAGTACCCAGGTAAAATCCCCAGCCCCCCCTGGCTCATAGTGATGTCCAGCCCTGTATCTTCCAGTGAACTTACACCTTATGCAAATCTGTGTCTTACAATTTATTATCTTTTACACAAGATGTTCTCAGGTTTTGATTGGTTTGTATTAATCTGTCAGCTAATAATTCAGCTTGCTTATGATGTGGAGAATGAAACAATGTTATGCAATATTGGATTATGTATTAACATTACCGATCTCAGCATTTAATGACACTCTTATTGGTCTTCATTACTATAATAGAAAGAAATTATGCCCTTTTTTCAGGAAACCCTTAATTTATTATTAATAATTATTATTATAAAGCTGATGTAAAGGGATGTATATTTTTAACTGCTTATCTAAATAAAATATGAAAATAATTAATTTTTTTGTTAACTGAGGTTGAAACTTATGAGAAGTACAAGCATGTAATTGTGATAACTGCAGTGATTAACTGGTCATATTAAGTTTTTCATTTTTTTTGTTTTCCCTATAACAGATGAAGGATTCCATCTTAAGCATGAGACAGCAATGTTGTTGTCCATGGCTAACAGAGGTCCAAACACTAATGGTTCTCAGTTTTTTATGTAAGTATTTGATCTTTTAAGAGATAGAAAGCACCCTATAAATTTGAAACCAAGTATAAAATTCCACTGCATCATGCATGTAGATGTGTAGTGTAAGTCAGGTCCTGATCACTCAAAGATTGGATACAAGTCATGTGGTGCTATCCACTGTATAAATTAATTATCGCTATGGAGTGGTTATAGTGTCATGAAATCCAATTGCCTTGCTTTTCTAATTTACCTGATGAATAGCATTACCCACCTTCTGAGCAACTGGGCACTGTTAACTTAATTACACTGACAAAAATGGTTCGGTTCTTTTTTGAATTTCCTGCTGTTGTCTAATTTTCCCCGTCTTTAATTCTCAACTCCTTCCTTTTCTCAAGGCCCCAGGTTCAAGTTTAAAAGGTGGTTTATGTACTTCAATGTATCAACTTGATAATATTAATCTCTAATCCAGTCGTTGATCCAGTTGTTTTCCCTAATTAATGTTTATCCACTGGATATTAATTTATCTGCTAAATATCACCTGATCCAAGGAGTGAACAACTTGGGTCAGATTTCAGGTCTTCCAAGGTAAAATGGCATCTCTGTGATACATAACAATATTGTAGTGTGAATAAAGACAAAGTTTTAATGTTTTAAGTTTTTATAGTGTGTTTATTTTGCTTTTCACAGAACAACTCAGCCTGCCCCACATCTTGATGGGTAAGTTTTCTTTTAACTTGATTCAGCTGTTCTTACTGATAGAAAGGAAATTTCTGTTAGCATTATGACATTATTGGTACAGACAAGACAGTGTTTCACATGGTTTCATTTTTTCAATTTCAGTACACAAATATAAAAAAGGGCATCAAATTTTGCGATATTATTTTTCAAACATCTGAATTTTTAAAAGATATCAAGATAAACTGTAACAAACAAAATGGATATTAACATTATTCCACAACAGATTAAAAATTACCAGTAAAACCAGTTAATAATTTGTTGTCGATACACCTAGGCTCTACAGTAGAAACAGTTGTTGTTATTAAATCTTAAAATCGTTTTTATATGATTTGAATTTTCTGTGGGTATCAAATATTAAAATTTTTTGCATGTTATCATTTTGTGAGGATATTTTATTCGCTCAAACAAATTGCGTGAAATAAAAAAAATGCGAAATTAAGTAATGACATTGTACATGACTTGTGTACATATGCATTATTCTTTGTTGCAGTGCCACTCAAAAGCAAGTCACAGATCAATGATTACCCACACTTCAATTGTTTCTCTTGCTTATATTGTGGCATATTCTTGTTTTATTTCTAGCATTCATGTGATATTTGGCCATGTATTGCAAGGTCAGGAAATAGTATCAGAGATAGAGATTCAAAGAGTTGATGACAAGAGTAGGCCCCTAGTGGATGTAAAGATTATCAACTGTGGTGAACTTATTCCAAAAGCAAAGGCTAAAGGTACAGGATATGTTTCCACTGACTAAATTTATGTACAGGGCTCAGTGCTCTAGCAGCAGTGCTGCCTGCTGACCCCTGGCATCATACTTTAGCTCTTAGGTGATGTCTTACTGTTATTTGTTAACTTTCAGCTGCAGAGAAGAAGGCTGAAAAGAAAAGAAGGAAATCTAAGCGACATTCTGACAGCAGCTCCTCAGATACTGACTCTTCATCCAGTTCTGGATCAGAATCAGACAGTGATCAGTCATCAATTGATGAGCGGACGCATAAAAAAGAAAAGAAGAAAAACGATGAGTGAATCTGTAAAACACAAGGAGAAGAAGAAAGCAAAGAAGAAAAAGAAAGAGATAAAAGACAGGTAAGTGGCTGTAACTACACCACAAATACATCAATACACAAACATTTAATAAATACATACAAAAAATGCAAATATGATAAAAATGAATACTGTGACTAAAATAATTAATGACTTAATTAAAACATGAATGCATATACATATAATTTCAAAAATTAACATTGTTCGCAAAAAGTACATCATTCAATAATTCATTCATTACACTAAAATGACAACATGTACATGTAGATAGATTTAGTTGAGTAGCAAAAAGCACTGATAGAGCCACTGTGCCGAGTGCAGAGCATAACCATGGCAACCAACATGTTGAATTTCAAAGAAATTGAGTGAGTAAGGGCAAGTCAAAGGGGTCAAAGGGGTCAAAGAGGTCAAAGAGGTGAAAGAGGTTAGGGAGAAAGTAGCCTGTCGTAGGAAGCCTTTTTTTGTGGTTTCAGAGTAAAGAAAGACGAGGGAATGACATGGAACAGGATTTTTGGTTTTGGCCGAAGCAAAAATGGAACAAGAGCAAACTCTTGCTATGCAGGCTAGGGAGAAAGAAGAGATCACAATATAAATGTATTATTTTTTCTCTCTCCCCAACCCCCCCCCCCCCTAAAAATAAGACAGTCAAATTTGTTCTGACACTTTCTTAAGATTCTAAAACTTTGTGCGATGTCTTCAGGCTCCATATCATGCTGCTCTCTGAGGTGGTTTCCGATTGCCGATCCTTTGTGTTCTTCAATTTGTTACTGGCCAATGCTATGGCTCGTACTAGCCTGCTTAAGACAACAAGGCCGTAAAGTTCTACGCTAGAATACAATGCATCTTAGAGCTTGCTCTGAACTTGACAACTTGACTAGACACAATTGCTCTATTGAAAAAGAACTGCCATGAAAGGGTTGCTGATAACTAGCGTCACATTCCATTAACTACATTTTACTGGCGTGACAGTAAAATTGCTTTTTGTTATAACAAGGTTTCGTTATATCGAGGTTATTTTCCATATATTTTACTACTACTGGGGTTAAAAGAAAATCCTTCATTATATTGAGGACTTCATTATATCAAGGTTCTACTGTTCTGCAATGACTCTTATTTCAGAGCTGTGGCTAAATTTTCAAGTCGCGGGGTAAATGCAATTAGTAGAAGGGGAATTGTACTGAGCTAGGAATTAGTTCTTTTGGTTCTGTTTCCTTTTTGTTTCCTATAAGAGAAGCCAGGGCTCATGCACATAGTACCCAGGTAAAATCCCCAGCCCCCCCTGGCTCATAGTGATGTCCAGCCCTGTATCTTCCAGTGAACTTACACCTTATGCAAATCTGTGTCTTACAATTTATTATCTTTTACACAAGATGTTCTCAGGTTTTGATTGGTTTGTATTAATCTGTCAGCTAATAATTCAGCTTGCTTATGATGTGGAGAATGAAACAATGTTATGCAATATTGGATTATGTATTAACATTACCGATCTCAGCATTTAATGACACTCTTATTGGTCTTCATTACTATAATAGAAAGAAATTATGCCCTTTTTTCAGGAAACCCTTAATTTATTATTAATAATTATTATTATAAAGCTGATGTAAAGGGATGTATATTTTTAACTGCTTATCTAAATAAAATATGAAAATAATTAATTTTTTTGTTAACTGAGGTTGAAACTTATGAGAAGTACAAGCATGTAATTGTGATAACTGCAGTGATTAACTGGTCATATTAAGTTTTTCATTTTTTTTGTTTTCCCTATAACAGATGAAGGATTCCATCTTAAGCATGAGACAGCAATGTTGTTGTCCATGGCTAACAGAGGTCCAAACACTAATGGTTCTCAGTTTTTTATGTAAGTATTTGATCTTTTAAGAGATAGAAAGCACCCTATAAATTTGAAACCAAGTATAAAATTCCACTGCATCATGCATGTAGATGTGTAGTGTAAGTCAGGTCCTGATCACTCAAAGATTGGATACAAGTCATGTGGTGCTATCCACTGTATAAATTAATTATCGCTATGGAGTGGTTATAGTGTCATGAAATCCAATTGCCTTGCTTTTCTAATTTACCTGATGAATAGCATTACCCACCTTCTGAGCAACTGGGCACTGTTAACTTAATTACACTGACAAAAATGGTTCGGTTCTTTTTTGAATTTCCTGCTGTTGTCTAATTTTCCCCGTCTTTAATTCTCAACTCCTTCCTTTTCTCAAGGCCCCAGGTTCAAGTTTAAAAGGTGGTTTATGTACTTCAATGTATCAACTTGATAATATTAATCTCTAATCCAGTCGTTGATCCAGTTGTTTTCCCTAATTAATGTTTATCCACTGGATATTAATTTATCTGCTAAATATCACCTGATCCAAGGAGTGAACAACTTGGGTCAGATTTCAGGTCTTCCAAGGTAAAATGGCATCTCTGTGATACATAACAATATTGTAGTGTGAATAAAGACAAAGTTTTAATGTTTTAAGTTTTTATAGTGTGTTTATTTTGCTTTTCACAGAACAACTCAGCCTGCCCCACATCTTGATGGGTAAGTTTTCTTTTAACTTGATTCAGCTGTTCTTACTGATAGAAAGGAAATTTCTGTTAGCATTATGACATTATTGGTACAGACAAGACAGTGTTTCACATGGTTTCATTTTTTCAATTTCAGTACACAAATATAAAAAAGGGCATCAAATTTTGCGATATTATTTTTCAAACATCTGAATTTTTAAAAGATATCAAGATAAACTGTAACAAACAAAATGGATATTAACATTATTCCACAACAGATTAAAAATTACCAGTAAAACCAGTTAATAATTTGTTGTCGATACACCTAGGCTCTACAGTAGAAACAGTTGTTGTTATTAAATCTTAAAATCGTTTTTATATGATTTGAATTTTCTGTGGGTATCAAATATTAAAATTTTTTGCATGTTATCATTTTGTGAGGATATTTTATTCGCTCAAACAAATTGCGTGAAATAAAAAAAATGCGAAATTAAGTAATGACATTGTACATGACTTGTGTACATATGCATTATTCTTTGTTGCAGTGCCACTCAAAAGCAAGTCACAGATCAATGATTACCCACACTTCAATTGTTTCTCTTGCTTATATTGTGGCATATTCTTGTTTTATTTCTAGCATTCATGTGATATTTGGCCATGTATTGCAAGGTCAGGAAATAGTATCAGAGATAGAGATTCAAAGAGTTGATGACAAGAGTAGGCCCCTAGTGGATGTAAAGATTATCAACTGTGGTGAACTTATTCCAAAAGCAAAGGCTAAAGGTACAGGATATGTTTCCACTGACTAAATTTATGTACAGGGCTCAGTGCTCTAGCAGCAGTGCTGCCTGCTGACCCCTGGCATCATACTTTAGCTCTTAGGTGATGTCTTACTGTTATTTGTTAACTTTCAGCTGCAGAGAAGAAGGCTGAAAAGAAAAGAAGGAAATCTAAGCGACATTCTGACAGCAGCTCCTCAGATACTGACTCTTCATCCAGTTCTGGATCAGAATCAGACAGTGATCAGTCATCAATTGATGAGCGGACGCATAAAAAAGAAAAGAAGAAAAACGATGAGTGAATCTGTAAAACACAAGGAGAAGAAGAAAGCAAAGAAGAAAAAGAAAGAGATAAAAGACAGGTAAGTGGCTGTAACTACACCACAAATACATCAATACACAAACATTTAATAAATACATACAAAAAATGCAAATATGATAAAAATGAATACTGTGACTAAAATAATTAATGACTTAATTAAAACATGAATGCATATACATATAATTTCAAAAATTAACATTGTTCGCAAAAAGTACATCATTCAATAATTCATTCATTACACTAAAATGACAACATGTACATGTAGATAGATTTAGTTGAGTAGCAAAAAGCACTGATAGAGCCACTGTGCCGAGTGCAGAGCATAACCATGGCAACCAACATGTTGAATTTCAAAGAAATTGAGTGAGTAAGGGCAAGTCAAAGGGGTCAAAGGGGTCAAAGAGGTCAAAGAGGTGAAAGAGGTTAGGGAGAAAGTAGCCTGTCGTAGGAAGCCTTTTTTTGTGGTTTCAGAGTAAAGAAAGACGAGGGAATGACATGGAACAGGATTTTTGGTTTTGGCCGAAGCAAAAATGGAACAAGAGCAAACTCTTGCTATGCAGGCTAGGGAGAAAGAAGAGATCACAATATAAATGTATTATTTTTTCCCCCCCCCCCCCCCCCCCCCCCCGCCTCTTACTACCTTTTTCACCCCACACCTACCCGAGGGTTGCTATTTCTACTCTGCCCTGTCTTTCTCAGTGGTCAAAGATGGCAGCCATGGCAATGCAGACAAGCAGTTTTTGCCCACCTTAAAAATTTGCCTGCATTGTTGGCTTCCCTGAGAGTACTTACACATACCTCGCACTAACCCAGGGTTATCTTAACCCAGCTTTGAACAAACCTGGCCAAGTAAGTGATAAGCAAAGGAATCTGTGGCTACGTGTGAGGTCCCATATTACATCATAATGTTGCTTTTACGCCCCCTTCCCTGTTAGTGAAATATTGACACTAATATCAGCAATTAATTTGAATTCCAGTCCAGGAGATGTTAAACCAAAGAGTCTTGAACCTTTTAGTTCAGTGGCTGTGGATGAGATCCCAGATGTTCCCAATAATTCTTTTCTATTGAGAAGAAGCCGCACCCCCTCCCCTGTCAGGGAAAAGAGGCTTCAGCAGGCAAAAAATAGGTATGTTTCCTCTGAGGTACACCTGACCTTAATCATTTCTACGAGAGCTGGGCTCATTCCCTTTTCGGTGCATAATTATCATGAATTAGGATTTTTTGAGCATGTAAGTCCATACTAAATTTGCAAATGATAAATTTTGCCCAAGGTAAAGCTCTTTCGTTGTTCAAAGCTCTGAGGTATATACTAATAAAATTAATTGTGACGTACAAAAGTACTTTGGAATGGCAAGACAACTAGATTTCATCCACGGACTCAAAACTAAGAACTGCATTTCATCCAACGTGCCTGATTACACACTAAGGAAATGGTACCATGTGAAAGTACTACTGATGGAAGAGGTTTCATTTGAATGGTCACACCATAGGATTTCATCCACAGACTCAAAAATTAAAACTACATATTACCATGTGATAGCACTGCTGAATTGATTCTGATGGCAAATGGTTCAAAAAAAGTTGTTCAGATGTTGAGAGATAGATGGCAGCAGTATCTTCAAGTTGTTTATATTATTTTCTGTTTGTATGACCACAGGAAAAGTAAGTCTCCTCTAGGGTATAAAGCTCCGCCTCAAAGTGATTCACAGCAAAGGACCAGGGTATGTACACCTGCTGAAATGATATTCTTTGGGAGATCAGTAGACCTTATTTCATTGTATCCACTATCTTCGCATGCACTTCAGTACTTATTAATCACGTGACATTGCATTTATCCCATCAACCCTTGAACGCGTGCAAAGATGGTGGTTGTTGTGAATAAGGTCTATATCTTCAACAGAACATATCCTTAATTATTAATAAAACAATTACATCCGAGTCTCTTGGTTCTTAGAATGAACCTCGGATTCGGTGGGTAACTATTTTTCTTTCTTTTAACACAGTTATAAAACTTTGTACCCTCTATCATCTATCTCTGTCTGCTTTTCTTATCGGCAGGTTTCCAGGTCGGGAAGGATTCTACGAGGACGAGGAAATATGGTGAGGAAATTCCCAGGGTATTAGTTTAAACTTCCTTACGAGAAAAACAATACACCAGGAGGAAAGGAAATATCACTAAGTAATGAATCATTTAGAAGCGGTCAGGAGACAAAACAAGGCAAAGCACATCTCTGAAAACCCACTACAGTGTACCCCCCTTCCCCCTTCCACCCCCCTAAGCAAAGAACCTGGCCCGAGGCTACTCAATCGTTAGAAATTCCATTTGGCAGGGTTTGAAACAGAACTTAATCACATGATTTTTATTTTTCAGCGGTATCGCACACCCCCGCCTTCTTCTCCGGATGGAACGCGGAACATTTCGCGCCGTTTTTCTCCACCTTTGGTGGCTCGGTTAAGGTCTCCACGCAGGCGTACGACGACTCCTATGCGTAGTGCGCGATCACCCTTTAGACAGTCGAGCTCTTCTCGAGAACGCTTTAGATCTCCCCGTCGACGCTCGAATTCTCCTCGAAGACGCCCGATGTCTTCTCGACGGCGCTCGAAGTCTCCACAAAAACAATCAAATTCCTCTCAGAGACGCTCGCTTTCACCTCAAAGACCCCCGATGTCTTCTCGACGACGGTCGAAGTCCCCACGAAAACACTCAAATTCCCCACAGAGATGCTTGCCGTCTCCACGGAGACACTCGGGGTCTCCGCGACAGCGCTCGAGATCTCCACGAAGACATTCGAAGTCCCCACCATCACAGTTACTTCAGAGAACAGACAGCAAACAGCATATGAAAGACCGTGAATCAGCGGAAAGAATAATGAAACAGAGCTACTCAGTAAGAGATGGTAAAAGCAGTGATAAATTTGCAACAGTTGAAACACGAGGTGAAAGGAACTCAAATGATGAAAAAGCTAACGAATGTTCACCTACAACTGAAGAGCGCTTTCCAGAAAGGCGACGGGAAGAAGACGGAAAGACCTTTTCTAATGAAGGCTATGCAAGGTCAAAGTTTGTTTCAATCAATGAAACTCGCAGTCACAGGAGAGGAGAAAAAACTAGCAGTAATAGCGACAGTGAGGAATTTGAACAAGAAAGTCGAGACATTTTATACAGATCGGAAAAACAGAGCCATCTTGCGCGTAAAGAAGACACCAGGGACATACGGAAACCAAGTTCATACTCGAAAGGTGACGAACAGACATGGAGAAGCTTAGCTCGTGATTATGAGTTTGAAGAAGGTCATGGAACTTTGGAGGCACAAAGTTATGCACCCATTCCATTAAGCAAAGAACGTGAAAATAACCGAGAACGTCTACAATGTCGCGGTAAAAATAACGATGAACGGATTTCTCCAAACGAAGAAAGCGCAGGCAGTGAATAAGAGGACAAACGAGCTTTCCTTCAGGGTGAAGGAAGGTTTAAACATCAGGGTATCTCAGAACGTAAAACTGGTCGTCGACAGCGCAGTAGGAGTTTTGATAGACGCAGAAGCAGCTCTCAGGAGAGTGACCGGAACCGGAAGTCACGTCATCACCATCGTCGTCATCATCATCG